TATATATATATTATTTGCACAATATTTCTTGATTATTGACTTTTTTGGTGTAGTTTTGAGTCATCATGGCGCTAAAATATTTTGATTTGGGGCTGATATTCTGACGGGTCTTTTTTACATTTTTAAAATGAAATGTGATTTATTGTTTAAAATAGTTTTTTCAACAACAATCATGTTCATTTAAATTACGTGTGTTCTTGCAGCCTGTGTTCATGTGTTCATTCTTTTTTTTCTTTTTTTTGCACATTTAAATTACGTAGATATTCCTACAGACACAGGCATGTCAATTTTTAGATAATTTATTTTACTTTTTCATTGATCTTTATTTAAATTACATTCCTACAATGGGACGCTGATAGATTATTATTTATTTATTCATTACATTTGTATTTATTTATTTATTTGTTTATCTCTTTATTGTTAGCCTTCAAATGAAAGTATTTTCCTAGGATGCAGTCAATTTTTTTCCTTTCAGGGGCAAAAAGTGACCAAGGCTAACAGGCGGTGACAGGCGGAGTAGTTATTGATGATCACTGATCACAAATGACGATTATTGTTTTTCAACAGGAAGGTCAGGGCAGGAGGTGACGAGGCAGGGTCCGTTACCATGGTGATAACAGATGATGATTTATCCCCTTATTGGGCCTTATCCATTCAATAATTTATTATTCACAGATTCACTTTGTTCCTTTTCTTCTCTTCCTCCTCCTCCCTTTATCTTCCTCTCCCCTGTTCTCTCTCGCCCTGCATCCTCGCTGCTTCCTCTTCCTCCCCCTCTCTCGTCCCGTTCCCCTCCGTTCGTCTTCCCTCCTCTCTCTTTCAGGTCACCGAGAGCCAGCAACAGCTCGCTCTGAAGATCAAATCCACCCTCGTTTCCTCTCTCTACGATGCTCTGCTCACGTCCATATGTTGAAGAACACACTCGTCTTATTTTAGCACCACTACCTTCCTCCTCCTCCTCCTCTTCCTCCTCTCTTGCCCTCCTCTCTTCTGAGTTTTGACTCCCCTTTTCACTCTCTCTCTCTTTGTCTCTCTCTCTCTCTTTCTTATTTTTTTCACACACGGAAAAAGAAAATGAAGCGTGGGTCGAGTGTGTTGCAGCCTCACTCTGATGCAGCCAAACGACACGCACACCCTGCAAACACACACACAAAGACACACACAGGCGATGACGCACAAGCCGCAGGTTCGAGCCCCTTCCCAGCAGCCACCTCTCTGTTCAGCCCTGATGTCAGCACCAAGATGGCGTCTGACCTCCTCATCAGGCTGTCAGGTAACACACACACACACACAGTGGGCACTAGAGCTGCTGCCTAATGACTAATCAATCAATTGATTATGTAATAATGAAAAGGATGGTTAGCTCCACCCCTAATGTGCAGAATTGCATCTTGTTTATGTCATTTTTGTGGATGCTAATTTGTGCTCACAAACACTACAAAAGTATGTGGACAGATCTTTGTACTGTCCTGTCGTGGGAAATGGAGTTGCGTGGGTGGAGTGAAACAATAATTGCACAAGAATAATACAGTAATACAAGAATAAATGAACAACAAGCCCATTTCCCGCGTGTGTCGTCCACGTTCCTGTCACTCCCTATACTGTCTTACCTAAGGAAGGCAAAGAATGGCCAAAAATAAAAGAATATATATGATAACTTGCACGGTGTTTATCCCAAAGTGAAACGCTTTATAAAGAAAAATCTAAACATAATACAAGGTTAGTATTATGTTTTCCTGGCCAACTACTCCACCTGTTCTGGTGGGACACAGACGTGTTCACAAGCAAAACCAGCTCATATACTATATCACCAAATGTATTCAATCCAAATCATTGAATTCAGGTGTTCCAGTCACTTCCATGGCCACAGGTGTATAAAGACAAGCACCTAGGCATGGATACTGTTTCTACAAGCATTTGTGAAAGAATGGGTCGCTCTCAGGAGCTCAGCGGACTCCATGGTGGTAATGTGCAGCCCGTTCTCATTCCCAATGCGTAAAATACCGACAACTTGTCATGTCATGTCTCATGGGAACACAAAAGGTATGTGGATGAAATTCAATGGAATGACGCTCCCGGCGGTAACTGACGTTCCAGCTGTGTATTCCAGCCCTAACCCTAACCTTAATCCTAACTCTAGCCATAACCTTAATGGTGTTAGATAGTGTTTTCCAAAGCGATTAAAGAAAACTAAATGTACATGTGCAGATTGAGTCCAAACGGTTCTCATGTTTCCTCCTGTTTCCGAACGCATAACATAGGAACATGTTGTGGCAGAAAGCATAATATACCGACGATTTGTCACACACAGTAATAAGTTATGCTTTGGGAGTGGGAACGTGCTGAGGTGCCTAGTGCACGGAGATCACCAACTTTCTGCAGAAGGTATCAGTACTGACCTCCAAACGTCACGTGCCCTTCAGATAAGCTCAAGAGCAGTGTGCAGAGACGAACCGCGCTTCTCCGTCTGGCAAACCGATAGGCGAGTTTGGGTTTGGCAGTTGCCAGGAGAACGGTACATGTCTAATGAGTTGAACCCTTATTTCCAGTGAAAGGAATTCTTAATGCTTCAGCACACCAAGACATATTGGACAATTTAATGCTCCCAACTTTGTGGGAACAGTTTTGGGCATGACACCTTCCTGTTCCAACATGACTGCATACCCGTGCACAAAGCAGGGTCCATAAAACATGGATGAGCGGTTTTGGTTTTGGAAGAACTTGACTGGCCTGCACTGAGCCCTGCCCTCAACATGACAGAACGCCTTTGGGATGAATTAGAGCGTGGGCAGACTTCATGTTAAACCCTGTGGATTAAGAATGGGATTTGACTCAAGTTCATGTGTGTGTGAAGGAAGTCAAGCAAATACTTTTGGCAATTTAATGGATGATCTCCACGTGTCCCTTCTCTATAGACATACCCGAAACACCTCACCCTTAAGGCACCCAGGAGGCATCCTTGTCAGATGTCGATGTGGAGGAGCTCCCAAATGACTGAGCTCCTCACCCTGTCTTTAAGGGAGTGCCCAGGCTCCTCATGCAGATAGCTCACTCTGTTGGTCACTCCACACAGCCTGTGGCCATACATGAGAGCTGAAGCCTAACTCAATCAATCTTCCCTTTCACACTGTATTCACTGGGACTGGGCAGTCCAGGGGTATAATTTCCAGGGGGGTTAGGAGGGTTATGACCCCTCCAATAATCAGACCCAGCCAATATAACCGCTTTACTTTTCTTTACTCATTTCAGTTAATACCAGCAAAATAGTTGCATGTTTAATCATCTGGGAATTTATCCAGATTTATTTAGACAGAGATTCCCCCCCAGTGTTCAGCACAAAGTTACGCTCATGGGGCAGTCATCCCTTTCCTGCTGGGAATCACATCCTCAAACTTGGAGGTGCTCATTCCTTCCACTTCACATCTGGGTGCAAATCACCCAGCTGGTTCAGCTCGTTCGATGAGCCCAACTGAGCAGAGAGGTGATCTGGATGCAAACCCACCTTCCACTGTGTTTGTACAGGGACAGGATAGCCTGCAACAACAACACGTGATATCCCATACTTCTGAAACACCCCCTACGGGAAATAATGAGGGCCACGGTTGGATGCCTTCTCCACATCCATGAAACACATGTAATTATGGCTATAATACATGGGTTATTCCACAGGATGTTTCAGTAATTTTCAGTACAAAGCGGTATACTGTGCCTCCACCTAAGACTGAATGCATTTTCACTATCTTCCAGTCAGCTCAGGTTTAACATGAAAAATAAAAAGGACGAGGCTGTCTCACCCTGAGTTTTCAAGGTCTACTAAGGCTATTGGTGCATACTCAAACACACCAATCAGAGCATACTGATGTAGAGCCACTTCAGAGATCAGAAAATGTTATTATTAAAAAGGAATTTTTGACCTAAAAGAAAATACGTATTCAGCCGCAGAACACATCTGAGCCTTATAACAGTGGTGGCACAGCCTGTAAGGTATAAATTAGCCCATCAGCATCACTAATAGGTGCAAATAATTATATTCTTTTACCACATGTGAGTCCCCTGCAGACTTTTTACGATTATTTGCTACTTTAACTTTGCCTTTTTAATACAATAACAGCATGTTATGTTGCACTTATGAAATCATAGAATTAAAATAATGAAGATGATTTTGCCTTCATTTTATTTAATACAAAAAAATAAAACAGCTGTGAGGCAAAGGAACACATTTTGGCCTTGACAGAACGGTAGCATTCAACATCCAAGGAGTGATGGCTAAAAGCCTATGCCAAGGCACCCGGGAAATGAAAATGGTGGAAAAAGAATAACGATAATGACATTAATAAAGACAAATAAAATCAGTAAAAAGCAACATAAGCAGAATAAACAGGCAGGTTTTAAGGTTCTTTCACGGCTCTCCTCAGGCAGACTGAGGAGTAAACACCAGAAGCTGCTTCACCTCAGGTTTTTGTCCTGCTCTTTGGAGCAACTGAAAGCCCAGAAGACCTCAGAGACCATCGTCATTCACAGATCTGAAGCAAGTGGGCGGCTGCAAGAACATGAAGTACAAGATTTTTTAAATCAATAAAAAAACAAGCATTCAATATCAGGTCTTTAAAACAGGGTGATATGTCACTCTCCGGTTGAATACTATTACTCTGAGTTTAACTCCCATTGCAGTAAATTCCTGCTGCAGGTTTTATCTGCTGGAAATGAAGAGACGTGAGCGTGTAGGTGTCCGCGTACTTCGGGCATGTGTTGCAGGAGCCTGTGCGCTCTCATGAAGGCTTGAGTGTGGTTATCAGGCTGCAATTTGACCTCTGCAGTAATCTGTTTACAGTTAACTTGAATCAAATCACTCTCTGTCTCCAGAGGCCACCCAGAAGGCCCAGATGCATCCTGGGAGCCGAGAGGAAGCGGAGCAGCAGGATGAGCCAGGCGTCGCTCTCTCACCGGACAGCCCCGGGGCGAGTCCCGAGCCACCGTCCCTCACGCACACGCCTGACGGCAATACCACTACGGACACGCTAGCTTCAGATCTGCTCCGGAAGCTAGCAGGTACGAGTTCGCCAAAACTGTGAGGAGAGATACAGCACTGTGTAAAAGTCTTGAGCCAGTCCTTATTTTTTCATGTTATGTAGGGAAATGGATGCAGTGATTTACTGGAACATGTGCAAACATACACAGCATACAGTATATAAGACAATAACAGAGTTTGTACAGTTGTAAGAACTTTGGAATGACCACATTTATTCTTTTAGGCACCTTTCTTGTCATTTCTTGAAGTAGTCTTCAGGAATAGTTCTCCAGGACATTCAAAGCTCTCCTTTGGATCTTTCTTCTGTTTTCTTCTGGTCTGAGCTCTGAGGAGGCCAATCCATGACTGATAATGTTCCATTTTGTGTTTTTATATCCAGGTATACTTTGACTGCATTGGAAGTGTTTTGGGATTGTTGCTGACAAATGACGCTGCTAAATTTTGATGAATTATCTCATTACACACAGTGCCACTGATTTTTAGTGCAGTTCTTATGTAGTTTGGCATGCCCCAGCTTTTCTCACTGTTTCTCAAGAATTTCTTCTTGAGAGCCACGCTAACACTCACACAATTTCTGATGGGGCTTCAGTGAACAGTAGATCAATCAACTGAAGGTCCAAGTGCATCTCTCGACTCCTGTGTCAGGCCTTTGCTGTTTCTTAAGGACATGACTTTCAGATAAGCCTGCCATTTCTTTTTTTGTCCTCCACTTTTCCCGATTTCCCAGATTTGTTTAAGGATACACTGCACACCATATCTAGACATGCCAAGGTTTTAGCTAAAAAATCATTGGGTATGATCTTGTTAGTGCAAAAGTGCTATGTTACGCCTGTCAAACTGTGTTATTTCTTAACATTTTTTATAGATTCAGCTAAAAAATAGGAACAAATAATTGTGTGTTCTTGCAACAGGCTGCTGGTAGCAAAGTGCCTAAAGACACTGATTAAAAATGGTTATTTGCCATGTTGTCTGTTTTGTATAGCCACAACACTGGTTCATCCCTTGAGTTAGGTGCCTTTTTATGCTTGAATGATTCACGGGTCTGCATTAAGTGGCAGTGTACAAAGAAACACTTTGAAAGACCTTCCGACAGCCTGGAGAACTACTGTTCAGCACCACAAAATATAAGAAAGTCTGACTTTGAGGCAAATATAGAGAGAAAAGAGTGGTGGTTCAAGACTTTTGCACAGTACTGTAAGTCATTTCTGACTGTTGGCTTTGCGCTGGATTCCAGCCCTGCGCTCCCAGTTATAAGCCTTCTGGTGTGGACGTCTTACTCACTTGTATTGGTGAACAACACAAAGTAGAGGTTCTATAGCTTGGAACCAGAACTCAGGTACCAGAGTCCAGCTGGACTGTCTGTTTTGTTTTGGGTTTTTGTTGGTTGAGGTCAAAAACATGTTACCTTCTCTAGCTTTGAATGAACTTTCACACACTGCTTCTAATCATTTATTATTATTTCTTCCCAATCACAGAGCGTCAGGAAGTGAATGGCCATGTGGTAAGACTCAAAGAAGAAGAAGAGCCAATGGAAGTCGACACAGTAGCCCAGAGTCAAATAGTAACAGAAGACGTTGCTCTGCCTGCCCCGAAAAAGGTCAATCATCACATCTTCAGTGTTAAAACAGAAGATCGGGGCCTCACTGGGAACAAGGTGGCTGAGGAGTTGCACCCCAGAGCCAAAATGGCGGACCGCTGTCTCTTTGGCCTTAAAGTAGAAGGCAAGTTCTGTGCTGAAGGATGCCCGCCTGTCTCCGCAATGGCAGACAGTGCAGTCTCTGGAGCCAAACAGTTTCACTTTCAAGTGAACATGGAGGATGTCTCTGGAACTAAGATGTCGGACCACCTTCTAACTGGAGCCAAGATGGAGGACCAGCTTCTCTTTAAAGCAAAGTTTGCCGAGCGGCCTTTCTCTGGAGTCAAGGTGACCAACAAGTTTCTCTCTGGAGTCAAAACAGAGGACAAGTTTGCTTCAGGGGCCAAGATGGAGAACCAGGTTTTCTCCGGGGTGAAGATGGAGGAGCAGCTCTTCTTTGGAGCCAAGATGGAAGACCAATTTACCTCTGGAGCCAAGATGGCTGACCAGTGCCTCAGAGCAGTGCTGTGGCAGGACATGTCAGTGAACCTGGCGTCCACACTGCTGCATCAACTGTCAGGTAACCACGCAAGCTTTAATATTAACCTAGATTAAATCTAAAGTTGATTGTCGTGTTTCTACTGGTCAGAGTTGCTCCTTGATGCCGAAACTTCAAATCTAAGAATACATAAAGCTGTCAAAAAAAACAAATAAACAGAAAAACACAATCTTTCTTGAATATTTGTGAGTTGAATTTCAGAGTTTTATTTTTTTTTTTTTTTCCTTGGAAATATTTATATGCTCAGTTTTGTGCAGGTGTTTGGAGGTTTTTTCACTAGTAACATAGTGAAAACCCCAGTGATTGCCTGTAAGCGAGCACATGGAATCAGCTGACTTCCTTTAAACAGGAAGAAGCAGCTGTGTGAGCCGACGGGCTGGTGCAGAGAGAGCAGACCGAGACTTTAGGAAACAACAGATAAGAAACCGTGCGTATCAGAGACATGCAGCCTCAGAGGTGGAGGTAGCTGCAGAGAGAAAAGTGCACATTGTCCACTGTTTGGGTTTTAGCCAAACACACAGGTTGCATCATTTTTTTCAGTTTGCACTCGAATGCGTTTCTTTTTCTGTCGCTTGTCTGCAGAGAGGGTCAGTAAGTCCAACAGTCAGCTGGTGGACAGGATGACTCCACCCATCAGAAGCAGGTAAGTGCACACTTCCATCTATCAGTGGCATATTTTGACCTCTGACCTCAGTCATGACGGTATCCTGTATGTGTGCGTGTTGCTCTCTGTGTAGTCCTGTTTTGAAGGGTAACGACGACCAGCGCCGCTCTTCCCCGGCAGTGATCAGCTCCCAAACTCCTCCACTTGGTAATGGACTTTCAATTTTTCACTTTTCATTTCCAACAGCGTTTAACAGCAAGCCCAGACATTTGTATCCACGCACTGCAGCACATGCATACCATTCAGGCTTCTAAATGCTGCAGATGACTTCTGCAGGCTCAGCTGGGAGAGGGATCAGACACAAGGCGAAACGGTCTTACTTTTAGAGCTGTGAAGAAACAGAGTTTTACGTTTGTGTGCACAGTGTAATCGATTTTTGGGGGTTAGCCTCTCCGCTATCAAGGTCTCACTATTTGTAGAGGCCCGAGAAAAGTTTGAACCTCGATTATACCCCGCTCCTGACGCAGACACAAAAACCAGGAGACACGCCAGAGCGGCTTGAAGGCTGCTGGCGGAGTTGGTGGATTGTAATGCAAATTATCCACAGATGAGTCCAGTGGAACTGCAGTCCCTTAGCGGACTTAGGGATAGAGAAATTATGATCAAGGCTTTAATCTAGGTGAAGTTTCCAGGAGTTAGATGACCTCTGCTAAAGATCCTGAATGTAACCACAGCCCAGCTGCTTTTATATAGTGCAGCGGCGGGCAAAGTCCAGGTTTTAGATGTGTCCTTAATCCAACACAGCTGATTTAAATGGCTAAATGACCTCCTGAACATGTTTTGAAGTTCTCCAGAGGCCTGGTAATAGCCTAATCATTTGATTCAGGTGAGATCTAAAACCTGCAGGACACCGGCCCTCGAGGTCTGGAGTTGCCCACCCATGATATAGTGCATGGATGTAAAGTCTCTTTATTTGGAGAGCTGATGTAGAAAATTGAAAGCTTGTATCTTGGTCAGGCTTAGCTACTAAAAACACAGCTTGGTTAAGTTACACACTGCAACTACCTGGTAAATTTAAGGCACTACAACAAGTTTAATGACATCATTTAAGAATTCCATGTTTTTTGACACTTTATTTTGTAGTTTTCTGTTAATTAATCACACTGACATAATAACCTGGTTTGCACACACAGGTTAAGATTTACATGAGTGTCACAGTGTCTACATGAAAATACAGGAACTCTGCGAGGATGCTCTGCAGCTGGAGGAGGTGTAGCGCCTTGATTATTAACCGTCTCCTGGAGGTGTTTTTCTTTTTTTTATTAATGAGTCACGGCGTTATGGGTTGTTGTCATTGATGTGTTTGCCTGCCAGTCTCGGGGTAATTTGCAGTGATGGAAACTGACACTGTCAGTCAGAGTGGAAGGATTAAAGGAGCTGACGGCTGAAATAGTGATCCAGCTAAATTTACAATGAACACTGGCACAGCAGGAAGGATGTCAGGTACAAGGATGCGAGCTCCCAAACCTCCAGCTGCCTTTTTAACAGCGCGCACTTCAGCATTTACAGATAAGCCCGGTGATGTTATGAATTTTTAATGCATTAGTCTGACTCTAAATCCCTCCCTAGTCGGAGAGTATGAGGCATGACTCTAAAAACAAAGCTTCCAAATATAAAGTGTCACTTCTAAGTGATGGTCACTGTTGTTTCCATTAAAGATTAATGAAACAAGAGGAAACATTTGCATGCGTTTGATACGCACTTATTCAGTGTTTCCCACAGACTAAGTGAATATTATTGGTTGTAGACCACCTGTTCATGGTTTCTCTGTTAGACAGACTGGATTTTAAGTATCATCATAGCTAATTCTGTCACATGCTGCTTTGTGGACCTGTTTTGAAGCCTTGAGTTTGGCGTTTTGGGGTCACCAAGAGCTCGATTCATATTCCCTGCTCGTTAGTGCTAAAATCCAGACAAAAAAAACCTAGAATTTCATAAAAAATGTAACCATGGGTTACAAGTAACCACAGAGCCGGCCGCATTCTTTGTCAGATAAGTCCATTTAGAAATCTGAATCCAGTTCAGTTATTAAGGTTAGTGGGGGTGAAGCAGAGACTGTTTAAGAGGATAGACGTAGCTCTGTGGTTGGAAAAATAAACCTGCATTGTGCCTGAAGGCCAGCAGTGGTTTCAAAACTGGTTCTCCGATCTGACCTGTGTCAAAGCTTTTCTCTTATTTTGGGTTGTGTTTGATAGAAGAATAGCAGAGGTTTTTTGGTAAATCCTGTAACACCAAAATGCAAGATTATAAAACCATTAAATGGACCGATTCTTATATAGCGCTTAAAGTGTGTGCTCATTGGCTAACAATTTATAAAAACCACAAGTCATTGCAAACAGCTAGCTGCTTGCATCAGGTCAGGTATTTAACTTTAAGCCTTAATAAGAAGCAAATTTTGATGCAATAAACGTGTTTGTTTCTAACACAAATCTAAGTTACTCACGTCTAGAGGCAGCCTCAAGTGGCCATTTGAGGAACTGCAACCTCTGAGGTTTTTTTTGTTTTTAAATGTTTTTTTATGACCGTCATAACAAAAGTTTAAAACGTCAACTTTTTAAGGTGCTCGACCAAAAATGAAGTCTGAGCTCGTGACTTTATTTGGATCTGATTATCACCCTCTGTGTTCTGCCTGGCTGGCTCTTAGCCACCACAAACACTTTTGATCTCCTCCACTGACAGCTCTCAGCAAACACTCTCACTGAATGTGTGTGTTCAGTTTGCCTGCATTGTCTCTGTATCATTATTATTATTATTGCTATTATTATTACTTTTTAATGACTGCATGCTGCCTTTGTCTGCGTTATGGATGCATGCTGCTACTGGAGTGCCCTTTGGGTCTATCATAATAAAGATGGTGGTGAAGTGCGCTGACAGAGGCTACAGTCACACAGAGGTTTAGCAATAATAGCTTCCAGAGGGGCTCATCATTAAGAAGTTCTGCTGTGTGTAAAAAGCAAAAATCACGCAGAATAATAAACGAATGCTCTTCTTCTTCCTCACAGAAACCCAAACCAGCCTCAGCAGACACCAAACCACAGGTTGCTCTTACTTTTTCAGGTAACACACACACACACGCATGTTTTCACATCTTAGTGAGGACATTGAATTGACATAATGCTTTACCTAGCCCCTTACTCTAACCATGCCCTTATTGTAACCTCACTCTAAAACCACATTTTTGAGCCTCAAAAATGCCTTCAAATTTGTGAGGACGGGCGCTTGGTCCCCACAGGTACAGTGGCATGTTTTGGTCATCACAAAGATGCTTAAACAAGTACACACACACACACGTACACCTTTACTCCTATATCTGTGAGGACCCCCTTTAAGATAGTGCACTTCCTCGCTGACTCTATATAGCTATCTCTAATCTTTGAGTTTCAGCCTGTTTTGGGACTCACTCTTGTTTATAGCTCTGTGAACGGTGATCCTAAATGTCGCAGCATTTTATCCAGCAGTAAAGCTTTCGAGCTGTTGTTTTCTGGCCTTCTGGAGAGACTGAAGTCCCCGCTTATCTTCCTGCATAGCTGCAGCTCTCCATCTCAGTGTATTCTGCCAGCGAAGGCGTCTTTGAACATTAACTTTCTGGAGATGTTTAACAAAATTTTTTCACAGTAGCAGTTTACGTTTAATGAGAAATGTAGTTTTTCTCTCAGCTTTCCACATTAAAGACACCAGCCACTGTGAGGTGTCAGCCTGGAGACTTTTGTCCTCCCGTTACTCTTTTCGTGACGGGACTTGTGGTTTTGAGCGCCTCTCTCATAGAGAACCATCATAAAACTTCCAAAACCAGGAGCACCTGTCTCCCAGAACTAATGCCACACATGAAACACTGAAACACTGATGAAGAGGTGAGTTTTAAGAGGACATGGAAAAACGAACAAGGTCAACCGGAAGTTGTCGCTGCTTGTAGTGAAAGCGTTTTTTGTGGCTCCATTCTGTGAGTTTGTTTAAGGAATTGAAGAACCATGAAACTGTTAGTACTGTTCACCTGATGTTTGTCCACCTGTGCCCTCCAATCAAGCTAATCACTCATTGTTACATAAACGAGGTTCACTATGATCTGATTATCTCCAGCTGTCATGTATTTCACCTTCTCTTCATGCTAAAAGTGAGAAATGAAATCATTTCCTGGTGTTCTGTCTCATTTCTTAAACCCTCTCAGATCTGAAGCGTGTATATAAATCCAAACCAGCTTTATCCATAAAACACTTTAAACAACAGCTGAACAAAGTGCTTGAGATTAAAGATAGAATAAAAATCCAAAAATATAATGAAATACAAAAATAAATAAACTAATAATAATACATATATATTTGAAAACAAAAGTGCATTTCAAGCATAATTACAACAAAATAATAACAAGTTAAAACCAACTGTAAAAACCAACCAAGCGCACGCTAGAAAAACCAAAACCTGCACCTGATTGGTTGCTGTCCTCTCCCACAGTGAGTCCCGCTTGGAGATTCATAGACAAATATCTGTTACCGTCATTTATGTGTTACAAGCTTTTGTCGTGTCCTTGCCTTCCAGGTGTCACGTGTGCGGTTTTGAGACCGAAGGACAGGCCCTTTTCCAGAGTCACATGACCGAACACCGCCAATGGGAGCACAGATCCTTCTCGCTGCACTGCTGCGTGTGCGACCACTCGACCAATCAGGAGGCAGAGATGAGGGCTCACGTCTGCACGCACATTCAGGGCGAAGTGAGGTAGGTGTAAGGATCCCTAACGACCCCCCTCCCCCCGGATACGTGACCACACATCCACGTGTCAGCACATGATTACATCGTTAAATTTAAATTTACTTAGATTTTTGAGTTGTTTTTAAGCGAAACAACCCCAAACCTTATATGACAAATGACAATGATGATATTTTATCTTTTGGACAGTCTTTTTACAAAAATCTATTATATCAATAGTAAAAATAACCATGTCTGCAGTGCTCCTTTGAGGCATTAATACGACCTTACAAAAGGTTTTCTGTGTATGACTTATTAAATAAGTGGAAACATCTAATAAAACGTACTTTAAACATAAAAAAACTTAGAGGTGAAAGTCGAGGCTGAACAGAATCAGTTTCTAAATCTTTGCTCAGTTACTGATATGAAGAAGTAAACTGAACTAACCAGTAAGATAGAGGTAGAGCTTTTATTGGTACATTTAAATTCTTCATTGAATGGATTTAAAACTAATTTGTTGATGTTACATGCAGGTGAGCGTGCTTTCTGTCAGCATCCTCGTGTAATGTGTGGGTCATTAACTCCTCCCTCTACCTTTCCTGACTCCCAGATGCCCTGTTACCCTTCCTGCCACAGCCTCCACCTCCAGCAGCGGTGCTCGTTCAGTTGCCACGGCAACCCAGCCGGAGACAAGCACCTCAGAGCATCGCTGCCGCATCTGCCAGAGGTCGTTTCCAGGGCAACAGGAGCTGCTGGTTCACTTCCAGGGTCATCGCCAGGGCAACCAGTACCGCTGCGACCGGTGTGGCCACCTGACCCGGACAGCCAACAAGCTGGTGGAACACGTGCGCGTGCACACGGGGGAGCGACCGTTCACCTGTGACCTCTGCCCCTACAGCGCCAAGCGGCGGGACAGTCTGCGCCTGCACTGCAAGGTCAAACACGCTGCGCACTTCTTCAACGGGGGCGCGACGGACGCACCCGCCGACGTGCATACGCACCGGTCATACGTGCATGCAGACAATCAGCGCTCGAACAAGCACGTCCAGCGGCTGCACACACCGCCAAGCGCTCACACTGCTGCATCCTCCTCCTCTGTTCCTCCTCTTCTTCTTCATCCATCGCTGTCCGACCGCGCTGGATGGAGGGATTTGTCTCCTCTCCTCCCGATCACGACCCTCATCTCTCTGAAACAGCGCTCTCCTTCATCTTCCTCCTCCTCCTCTTCATCTTTCTCTACCAAACACTCTTTTCTTGGTTACCTCGGCCTGACAACTTCTTTGTAAAGCCTCCCTGCTTTTGGTCCTCCTCTCTTCGTCTCCTTCTCTTCTAATTTCTCCTCTTCCTCTTCTTCCTTTTCTCTTCTATCCATCCTCTGGACTCTTAAAGCGATGGATGTAAAGCTCTGTAATGTATCCAAGGTACTGTCACTCAGCACTATGTATGAGAATGTCAAACAGCACTGAAAACACACCGATAAGGAACGTTTTTGAATTTATTCAACTTTTGCATCATGCTCGTGATTTTTGCTGCATTCCTGCCTGCTTTAGCCCGTCATATAATCACTGAACTCTTAGCTATTTAACCGTGTGACATATTTATTGCCTGTCTCTCTTGTCCTCCAGAAACCTTGAACTTAAAAAGTCGAATTTTATTATAAATTGTTCTAATCAGAAACACGAGATGCTGTGAAGTAAGGGTCATTTATTGAGATGATGAGATAATGTTGAGGGTGAGATAGTTTGTTTTTCTTTTAAAACACAACGTGTTTTTTAGACATTTTCTTTAAAAAAGCAGCGGACTTCAAAAAAACATGATTAAAGGAAGAAAATAAGAGTTGACAGCATTTCTAGCAGCTCTTTAAGGCAATATCTATATGAAGGTTTACTTAACTGTTTACTTGGAGTTCAGCATGCTAACTGTTCCACAGTACAATGCTAATATAGCAGGTATGATGCTAATCGTATTCTATGTTCCTATTTTGTTATGTGAACATGCTAACTTTTGCTAATTATCGGCAGTGAGAACAAGCTACTGCTACTACTGAGAATGTCCTTAGTTCGGTATGCTTATATGTTAATTTTTGCTAATTAACCGCTGAGGCTAATGGGAATGTCTTTAGTTTTATTGTTGTATTATTTGCTTATTGCTGCTGAGACTTCGAACTTTTTTACTTGGTATAAATGTCTTTAGTCTAGCTTTTTAGCATGGTAATGATGGCGATTTAATACTAAAAAAATGCAGTTCAGCTAAGAGTTATATATATATATATATGTCTTTAACTTAGATTGTTACTGCGCTAATATTTGCAATTTATCACAACAAACAATGCTGCTTAAATTGATGAGAAGGGTGTTAGTTTAACATGCTGTTTAGCACTAAACACAATATACAAGTGAGGCTGATGGGAATGCCTTGTGCTGATTTTTAGCATTGATAATGTTGGCCATATCTTGCTGTGGCATGTGAACATGCTAACCTTTGCTAATTTGCACTAAAAGAAATCACCACTTAGGCTGATGGGATATTATCAGTTTATCATGCTAATTTGCACGAATGATGCATTCCAGTTGAAGTTGGAATTTCCAAGTTCCCAGTTGGAATTGGACCCCCCTCTCAAGTTGGATTTCCAATAGAAAGTGAGACCAGCCCCACCAACCCGACTTCTCAATCCCAAATGGTGGCTCCGAATCGCTTCGTAAAACTTTCATTCGTGCTGCCAGTGTTGTGTATCTGTGCCTGACTCTAGCCTCAAATGTGTTGCAGGGGCGTTTTAAGTGCAAAAACACAAGCGTTGCACTGTGTTAATAGTGATGCACGAATGGCTCTACTTTGCTTAGAAGCAAAACTAATCCTGGTATCCCTTGCTTTTCTGACTTTAGTACTGGAATACATTCAAATGAGGAGTGACATCACTCCCAGCATTGACAACCGACTTCTGAGTTAAATGGATTCACCATAAAAATAAGCTATTGATGCTACTGGGATTGAGAATGTCTTTAGTTTTGTGTGTTACGTGCTAACCTTTCAGTTTTGTATAGGCTCAAAGGGATGTCTGTAGCATGTTAGTATCTTAAACTTTCTAAGTTAGTACTATTCACACGCAATATTCCTGAGGGGGTTTGAAACTGCATTACTTTAGGGTGCTAACATGATCATTTCCACTGAAGCTAATGAGAATATAATTATGGTGCATTCCAGATTAAGTCGAACTTTCAGAATTCCCTGTTGGAATCGTTGTCTCAAAGACCCCCTGAACCTGGAGTTCCAACTGATAAAGTGGGAGAAACCCCTATATAGAAATCGAAAATGGTGGCAGTGAATGGAAAAAGTAGTGAAACTGTAATACTTTCTATCTGTGCCACTACTGACTTGCTAAATAAGCCATATACAGAGCAGTGAGAACGCTCTGTCCGTGAACGTGCTGCAGCTACATTTTTAAGCACAAAAACCAAACATTATGCTGTGTTCCTAGTGATGACATGAATGACTGCTTTGCTAAGAAACAAAACAAATCCTGTTTGTCGTGCTTTTCTGACTTTAGTACTGAAATAGACTAACTCTGGAATAACTTCACTCCAGAGTTCTGAATTAACTGGAATGGGACATTACCGTAGGCTATTAGCATGCTAACACTGGCTAATGAAAGCAAAAAAAACACACAGCAAGGCTATCAGTCCTCAGCTTATTGCGTAAACATGCTAACATTTGCCATTTAGCATTAAACAGAGCATCTAGCTGAGCTGATGAAAATGTTACTAGCTTTATTATTATTTTATCCTGAATTTGGTTAAAGTCATCAGGATGTTTGTGTCAAGTCTTTAATGCTCCATGTAAATCCATCCAGCCAACAAATGTGGAGATATTTCCAACAGACCAATTCAGAGAACCACTCAAGGTTTAAATCATTGGTGTTTTACTGAGTTCATCTACAACTGTGAGTGAAAGCATTTTAAACCAGATGCTGCAGCCGAAGTATACTTTTTATAATCTGTTGCTTATTGTCTTAGCCATTCTAATCGTAAAGTCTATATTTTCTGAGAGACCATCTTCACTTGTTGTGTCTGACTTTGGTATTGTATTACTGCAGAAAGCTCACATTTGATGAGAACACTTTATTTTATTTGACTGGTTGCATGAATTATTTAAAGTTACCATCCTTCAGTCTGCTGCTTCCACTTCAATATTGGAGGATTTTTGGGGTTATTCGTGGTTTCTGGAGGACAGTGATGATACTTCTAATATTTGTGTTGTATATTGATAATGTATTTGTGTTTACATGACTACATGGGGCTCCTGGGAGTCTGAAATGTCTTAATTTAAGGTTGCACTATATGTAGACAGAAGAAAAGTCAGTTTAGAACACTTTAGCCTTTTGCAAAAACACTTTAAGTGTTGGTTTGTTTTGTAATGTCGCCGAAGGAAAAGTCGAAACCCACAGCCAAATAATTACTCTGCAGATTCAGTCCCGGGGATCCAGTTTTTGTTAAATTATCCAGTACTAACAGCTGATCCACGACTGGTATGGGGCAGGGACAGCTGCTCAATAAAGTGTCGAAAATATGTTTTTTCAGTGAGTATTATTTATTAAGGCTTAAAGCCAAAGAGCATCTTTCTTTCCTGAGGCAGGGAACGGCTTTAGTTTGAAGACAGTAAAAACCCGAAGTTGTATTACCAAACGCACAACACAACCTAAGATAGCTTAAAAATTCTTTTAAAAGGAAGAATAATGCCCACTATGATTATTTGGTGATTGTCCCTTCTATCTGTTCCTACTTTGATAATAGCATAGCCACAGCGGCCTCACAGTGGGTGAAATGTCTTGCAGATTACAGGATTCAATCAAAATCTTATCCGTGATTTTTATTAGTTATGACAACAAAAGCTTATTTTATTCATAAAACATAACATTTTGCTTAAAAATTAAGACTTTCCTGTAGATTGTCTGGGCACACAAGGACTTCTTTATGCTCCAAATCAGAGCCAAATTTCATTGCACATGATGTTTTTGTTATATTTTCCACTGTTTTAATTATTTTTATGACCTGGTGGAAGCACTCACCGTGCCATTTAACTTTAGGAAACAATTAAATTCACAAAAGTGATTGTCCTGGTCACAAGACAAAGTTTGAAAAGAGTAATATACACTTGCCAGACACTTTACTAGGACTATTTTACAAACCGCCGATCTGCTGGGATTTTCCTTCACGCCCATCTCTAAACTACGGTTTACAGATGGAAAAGAGAAAATATCCAGTGAGCCTCAGTTTTCTGCATGAAAATGTCTTGTTGATGTCAGACATCAGGGGTGAAGGGTCAGACTGCTTTGAGCTGATTTGAAGGCAACAGTAAGTCAAAGAATCACTCATTACAACTAAGGTATGCAGAAGAACAGTGGCTACTGTAATCACACTACATTTTTCAGTAATGTGGTGTATTACTGCACAAAATTCAATAATATGTTGGCAGTGATGTTGTTACTTGCGTTAAGGTTTTTCAATTATCTGCAGGTTGGGTGGACGGAAAGAAAAAACAACTGCAAACTTGAGCTACATTGAGGTGATTTCAGTTCATGTGTGGGAGGAGGAAAATAGTGGGCCGGTCTGCAGCAGAGACATCGACATTACCTTTATTTTTATTGCACGAAAGAACGAGAGCACAATGGTGAAGTGCAAACTGCACCCAGGACACAAACAATCACATTATGCTGCTAACACAACTTTAGCTCTTTGCAAACATCAGCACAGACAGCATGCTAACACAAAGTCAGCAAGCAACCCAGAGTGACGACAAACCTTAGTGCATGCAGACTTCAGTCCAGCAGCCAGAGCCTGAACTTCAACAGAGTCAGTAATGAGCAGTCTGGACTATAGTCTCCATTTGTGTCTGTTCATGTTTTTATAGTAGAACCACGGTGGAAGTCGCTTTGGGCACAACATGTCAAACATGAAGCAGACGGGATACAGCAGCAGAAGACCACACCAGGTGCCTGCAAGATAAGAGCAGGAAAGTGAGGCTACAATTCAAATTGAACAATAAAAAACTGCAAAAGTGTTGCTTGGTCTGAGTCTCTTTAGCATTCGGCCATAATTTGATTTAAACGCCATAAAATCATGGATCCATCCTGTCTGGTGATGTAATACAATCAACAATCTTCTGGATACACTGTGTGCTCCTTAGCACGAACTGAGCATCATTCAAACACCACAGCCTACCTGAGTATTGTTGCTGACTGTGTCCATCCCTTTATGGCCATAGTGTACTCATCTTCTGATGGCTGCTGCCAGCAGGGTAGCACACCATGTGGCAAATCATTTAAAAGCGATTTCTCGAACATGACAATGAGTCACTGCACTCACTGACCACCACAGTGATGCAGTGACTCAGGAGGAAATAAAGGAAGCAGTGAAACATCTATCCTCGGTATCTAGAGCATGTGACCAGCGCTCATTACAGATGCCATGCATACATGTTGGGCTCTCTTCCCTCAGAAACCTTTAGTGAGTGAATGAAGGCCAACAGGTGTCCTTTATAATTGAGCTCTGATCCGGCAGCTTGTTGAAGGGAGGTCAGGTCTAAGATCACGTTCACCAGCGCTTCTCAGTGAGGAACATTCACCTACACTAGTGTTACATAATGTGTTTGTAAAGCACTGCAGCACGTCAACAAGGCAGGAACCTCATCAGGGGACGCTTGGACCCACAAACGGGGTCGAGACCTCAACACTCAGGTTGGGTCTGCTTCAACAGCTGAATTTCACACAAAGCAGTGTAAAATACAACGACACCCC